AATTATACACGCCGTAAGCATATAGTGAATGCTATATAATATTTAATAGTGCAGAAATTTTTTAACATAATATTATATGTATAAAGTACGGATTCTATGCAATATTGACATATCAACATGCGCTTTTATGTTTCTCGTATGAAAATGCCTTATGTATGCTAGCGGAAGGTTTTTCTTATGGAATTTTGGTACGCATAATTACATAACTCAGTTCCTATAATGCCATATTGCAACGGTTAGATGACAGTTAAACCTCTCAGAATTTATTTAGAGAATAATGATAAATTGCATAATAATGGCTGCGCTTTGAGAGGTGTTGCATTTAATTTAAAGAGATTGCAATTAGAAGGTATGACTGCACTACGTATTGATACAATTAGAGTTTAGAATAATGATTGATGACGAATATTTGTTATTGATAAATGACGAAATATACACCATTAATCGTCATTGATTAATGATGAAACCATTTCGTCAGGTAACTTCATTTTGGTGAAATGACGAATGATAAAATCATGACAAATTGTGAAACTCATAACGAATACGAAACCTATGACGAATGAGAATTTATATATATAGTATATAGTATTTAGCATAATAAAAACTGGTTAACGTTATCCAGGTATAGATGGTGTAGAATTCAAAAATGGAGATTTTAACAATGAAAATGATTAGTAATCATTGTTATAATTTCCTTTTTTGAATTCTACCGCCATCTATATATCCAGGTGATAGTACTGTATTTGAGTTTAGACTATTTTTCTTATTTAAACCGGGTTTAATCTGTTTTAATATAAATTATAGGAACATATTAATAGATATAATTGGTGAATAAATATTTACTAATTTGGGGAACGTTAAAGACAGGTTCGTTTTAAGTAGGGATACGGTTACTTTTTCGTTTCAATTAGTAGATTTTTAAGTATAGATATCAAGAACGCAATTTATGCAAATGTAGATTAATATGGGAATGAAACTAGCATTAACGAACTTCCTAATTTGGGAAAGATTGTTTTAGGTTTAGCAAAGGTTATACCCAATACAATCACAAGAATGTGTAACATGAAATGTGAGAGGGATGGTTTCATACTACTTTTTTGATATCGCTTAGGCTGATTTTCTCAAAATCCTTTCTTAGTAACATTATGGTTTTCAGTTGTACAATTTTGGTAGTTATAATATTCCTATTAATGAAATAATTGATATCATTATTGCAGCATGTATTGAGATTACTATTATATATTAATTCATTTGGTCTAAGACCTTTGAGAATAAGGCTTAAATGTATATTGTCATATAAAAACTTGAAGTGACGAATTTTTTGATTAATTCTTTTAAAATATTATTTATATTGGATTGATGAGTAATTTGTGTGATTTATATAGCAGTTTACATTAAGTATAGAATTTATTTGTAGGTTTTATTCGTGTATAATATATTTTGGCTAACAGTACTATTATAACTAGAGATGCAAAATCGGTTGATCAGCTTGTATGTATAGTATAATAACCAAGAGCCAATCAGCTGACTTTGCATCTCTAATTATAACATGAAAAATAAGAGCAGTGACATGATTTTTTACATAGTGAAAAATTAAAAGTCACGCGCATTGTTACATCACATGGCATATATAAATAATATACTAAAAAATTGATCTATATTATTTGTCACTGGTAGTTGTTTTGATCTACAAAAACCGTAATTTTCTCAAAATTTTTGAACAAAGTTGGTAGTAGTAGTAATCTCAGTAATCTCATTAGGAATATGTTGTGACTTCTGAAGAGATTCTACCAACTTGTTAATAGGATTCTCATCTGAATCATCGAGCTCTTCTATATATTGATAACCTATCTCTAAGAGATTAGAAATATTTTCAAAATCATCTAATCCTATTGGGTTTTCAAACCAGACTTGCCATCGCTGATAGCGATCTCCCAAATTATTGTGCATTTGACAATCAATATTATCTGTCAGTGCTACTTTATGATGATTATGTTGCCAAAAAAGTTTGTTCAGATATAAGTTTGGGCTTAAAGGGTCTGGCGTATAACATCCTGTACCCAGAGAAAGCATAAAAATCTTCTCAATTGCAACATTATAATACTGTGTAGCTTCAATATAAGCTGTCATTGTTGGGTTATTAATAAGTACCCCTCCATCCAAGAAAAAACCTTTATTCTTTATATTGTGATGTGAGAAAAAAGTAGGAGAAGCTGTCGTAGCCATTAAAGCATCATA